CGGCATGGCTTAACATCCCAGTGAACACCTTCAGAAACCTGATTGTTTCTCTTCCTGCACGTCTCACAGCGGTTCGCTCTGCCAAAGGTGGTTATTCTGGATTTTGACAGGTGGTCACATTAATGTGACTGGACTGTGTATATAAAAATGAATATCTGTGGATGTGTGTGTCCTATATAGACTCTCAAACCATCCAACTGAAATTGATGAGACTTGACATACAGATAGTTTGAAGCACGAGGAAGGTCACTTTTGACATTAGAACATTCAACAACACAAACCCTTCGATCGGGATGAGCAAAAACGAAATGGAAAATTTCTGATTGGTTAAGCTTTAGCCATTGTTTTAAATTTAACGATCCATTTTTACACATATTTTAAGGAACAGTATCATCAGTAATAATTGCTTGCTTAAATAGCTCTGTTTTATCAAAAATATAATTTATTGCATATATTTAACCATTTTATATTTTCTATGTCAGATAAATTCAATGAACATTGTGACGTGGTAGCATGCATGGTCTACGTCACCAAATGAATACATTGTCTGATACCACACGATTTTACTTTATTTGTAAAATTTTTTTAAACGTGTTTCTAAAAAATTATTTATTTAAAACCAACAGTAATGAAATCGGAAGGAAAAAAATATTTATGTATTCAAAAGCACAAATTAATGGGAAAGTGGTATTAATATTTTGATGAATTAGAATTAAAAGAACTCAATGCTAAATATACTTATATAGGTATAAAATATTATATTGATGTATTTGATGATTATTAAAACTGCACCAATCAGTTTTAATACCTTTTGGAATTAATCGTTTTGCAGCCCTTAGAAAAAGATGTGTACCAGAGAAAATCACTTAATAGTGGTATATTTTATCTTTATTCCAATAGTATGAATTACAAAGAAAGAGCTCTTCTTACTTCAATAACGTAAAGCATACCTGCCAAGTCTCCTGTTTACCTTTATAATCTCAAATTTCTTCGTATTTGTTGAAGAAATTTTAAAAAAAGAATTTTGGCGATAAAATATCCACTGATGGCAAAAATATTTCTCTTATTCCTCAGCAGATGGTGCTTTTACTAGTACTGCAATATGTTGAGTGTTAATAGTTTAATTATAAATGATGGTTTAGCAGAACTTCTTTAGATTAAGATTTATTTACATATATTTGACACCGACTAAATGTAAGTGCTTATTTTATTTCCAGTTTTGAAATTCTCTCTTTGATTTACATGATTATGCATGATGTATCAAAACTCATAACCCAAAAAATGTCGCTTGTAAAATCTCCGTTATTTAATTTCTCCATTGTTGGCAGGTACGAAATTTAAGAAAATCCTTAGGTCATCTCAGGATTTCTATTATATACTTCACAATTTCATATTACCATTTACTCTGTCATAGCATAGCTGCCAACTGTTCAAAATTTTTCGGTTCCTAATTTTTAAATCAAATCCAAAAATCTGATATTTTTATTTTAAAGAATCCGAATTTTCGTAAAATTGCAGTATTTCTGCTTTTAAACCAATCCCTTGTTCTGATCGCCGCAAGCTCGCTTCCTGTGATTATTGTGCATAAGTAATTTTTAGTAGCTGTCTATTCCAATAGCTGTTGCTGATCATTTCTCTAAATTAAATCTTAAACAACTATTATTATTTTTTTAAAAATGTATTGTATTTAAATATTTGAAATATTTGTTTATGTTGTAGCTTATTATTTATCTGTGTTTTATAATTTGGAGAATATATTAATTGGTAATGGTTGTTTTTAAACTATTAAATCAGTATTCCTAATTATAACATATTCATGTTATAAATTTCCCACAAAAGATAGTGTTTATAGTCTTGTTTTACTAATGTTTCATAAGATATTTAAATATATGTCGATTAATGTTATTACCTTACTCTCGTAATTGGTGCGTATAATTTTGTCGCATATAGTCCCTACAAAAATCTACTTTTTGACAGCACATATTAATAAAAACAAGGAAAATTTGCAAAATAAAAACTTACTTATTTTAGTAAACAATGTGTAACTAATTATAAATTGTTCAGATAATATAAAAAGCGCATGACAAAGAAAACAGATAGATAATTTTTAAAACAACTTTATTAAAAATAAGTAAATTAACAAAATGTAACAAATGGTAAAGAGTGGACTTTTACTAATAAATTCAATTGTTTGTAAAGTGGCTGATTTACATCAATGCAGAGAAACTGATGCTTATTAAAATTTTCGGCAATGGGTCGCAAGTCTTCAACATTTAACCCTCCGAAGCAAGCTCTATTTCAAAATGAACCAAACTGCAATCTATGGGACATGGATTACTGCATAATGAATAATGTAATACATCATTCATTACATGTAATCTATTGATTTTGCTTGACATGATGAGAAAAAAAACCAAAACATAAACTAAAAGATTTATTGTAAAATATTTTATAATTAAAGTGATGGATAAAAAGAAATGAACACATTAATTAAAAAGAACTTAGTTAACTTCTGTCTTAAGATGCAATTATTTTCTCTGAGTTTTTTCGCTGCAACCTGTTAACATTTTAAATGCATTCTTTAGATGGACTTCAAACTAATTGATGTATAAATACACTATATACCGAAACTTAGTGTAGGTTGAAAGAAAAAATTAGAAACATGCGGGAAAAAAGTTGTCGTGAAAAATTCTTAGAAATAGTTTTGTAACTAGCTGCCAAGAATCCTGTTTTTTACAACTATCTCTTCTTCAAATTTCTCTGTATTTGTTGAAGAAATTTTGAAAAAAACAAATTGGTGATAAAATATCTACTGATGGCAAAAATACCTCTCTTATTCCTCAACAGATGGTGCTATTGCCAGTACTGCACTATGTTGAGTGTGAATTGTTAATAAAGTGCAGTTGTGATGGCTCACGGGATAGAGTGGTTGCCTTCCAATGAGGTGAACCCAGGTTCACGAATACGAGTTCTGCATCCGACTTGCCCCGTCCACAGTGCTGGCGTGAAATATCGTCAGTGGTAAACAGTTAGAATCCCCTTGTCGTCAGGCTAATCGTTGGAGGTTTTCGTGGTTTTCCTCTCCCAGTGCCTCAATCGCCGCTTATTTCCATAAAGTAATCCACAAAGACAAATTTCTCCCAATACTTTATGCAGGAGTTCCCTTGTCTTCTGGATTGGGTTTAAAATTACAAGGCTACGGAGTTGAACATAAGGGGAATTATAAATCAACTATGTCAACCTTCATCTATCAAAAGGTCCCTCCAAATAGATTCAAGTGAACTAGTCTTATATACTAGTGAATTGGTATTCAATATGGTGGTAGTGCCACAAACATCAGTAATCGTAAACCCAAAACTGGGTCAGTTAGTAAAGTCTTCGTTATTTTATTTCTCCAATGTTGGCAGGCATGCTGTATGTGTGTTTGACCACGGATATTGTGGGGTTCAGATCGAACCTAAACAGTTCTTAATTTTCTGCGTTCTGTGGATATAGAATTTTTTATTATGGTTATGATTATTTTAACCAAGATGAGCCTTTTTTCAGAACATTATGCTTGAAAATCACTTTCTGAATGTGGAAAACCCACAGTTTGGTGTAAAACTAAATTAGAGCATCCATTGAAAAAGAAATCAACTTATCTTGTAATTCTATTACTATTTGCATTTTCTGTGACTACAGGGTTAGGAATAATATTTTCAAGCTTTGGATTTATTCAATCCTAGAAGTGCAATCAATTAGAGACTAAAAAGGCAGAAAAGCTTTTGTTTTTGCTAATATTTTATTCGGTAAAAAATTGTGGTAAATGTAAAAGGGAATTAAAAACATATTATAAAATGAATTTTTTTTTTTTATGTTCAGTGTTAACTTTTTGGGAATATTTCCATATCGTGATCTGTCCCGCCAACTACTATCGCCAAATAGATTTTAAACCTGCAAAAAAAAAAAATTTTTAAAAACAAAAAGCGTGTAGATCTGCCGGGGGACTTGGCGATCATTCTGCCACAGGTCACGATATAGAAATCTCCCCACTTTTTTAATTAAAATATCAGGCATAAATAAAAATATTTGATTTAGTATCAAAATATTGGATATTTTTGAAAATATGATATTTACAAACCCTGTGAATAATATATTTCCGATAACAGTACTACTTTAAAGATAATGTTTCATATTTACTTCATCAATGCTAATTAGTATAAAGCAACCAATGGGCTATGCAAAATAAAAGAGAGAGAATATTTTTCATATTTCATTCATATTTTTTTCATTAATATGTATTTGAAAATGTTGTTTACAGTCCCTGGCCAAATTATTAGACGCACTATAAGATTCTATGTAAAATCTTAGTTATCAGGTGATACTATACAGCTTTATTGTTTTTACGCGACTGAAACCGGTTTGCACTTGTTTACGTTCGTGGATCAGTTGGCTAACATTGTAGTGTAGTACGTTAAAAATAAATACAAATAGGAAGTATATAAAAAATCTCCTGAATAAAAACCCATGACATGTATGTTTAAATATTGCATATAAACTCGTGCAAAACATGTAAGTATTAAAAAAGAACAGTGCATCTAATAATTTGATCTAATTATTACAATATAATAATATTATATCTGGCATAATAAATACTCTGTATTCATCTAATTTATCCAATCGCCAAATTCATATTATATATCTCCTAATTTAACCAGCTGGTACCCGAACGTAAACAAGCGCAAACAGGTTTCAGTCGCATAAAAACAATAAAGCTGTACAGTATAACCTGATAATTAAGATTTTACATAGAATCTTATAGTGCGTCTAATAATTTTCCAGGGACTGTAGGTATGTGGAATATATTTAGCTGTAATGCACGATAGAAAAAAAACTCCTTCCAATTAGCTCTTTAGAAGGTAGTGATTCAATGAGATTCATATAAATAAGGTTTTAAATTTATGTCTGTTGTGTTGAGTTCTTTATGTTTAAGTATGTTTTATTGATATATTCTTCTATAGGTACTTATATCCCAGCTACTCAAAGACCTGACGGTTCATGGAGAAAAGCACGAAGAGTCAAAGATGGTTATATTCCTCAAGATGAAATGCCTTTGTATGTTTTTTTCTTTCTTGCTTGCTTTAGTTTCTACTGAATAACCACTCGTAGATAGGTTAATTATCAGGGGTCTGTTAAGAAGAAATTTGGGTCCGTTAATAAACCCTTCACAAAATATCTTTTCATAAAAACAGACCCTTCACAGAATATCTTTTCATAAAAACGGACCCTTCACAAAATATTTTATCTTAAAAACGGACCCTTCACAAGTGATTTTTCTTTTAATCGGACCCTTCACAAATTTGTTTATCTTCATTATTGTTTTGTTAATTGAATAAACCCTTCCCAGGGCAGAAAACAAGAAAGATGGATGTCAATGAATTAAGTTTTGTCTTCGGCAGACGATTCTTCCAATATTCGTCCGAAATGAATATTCTGCGTTCAGCAGTATCGACTAAATACCAAATATTTGTATGTTGCATCTCTAATTTAGAAGCAGCAATTGTTATTTATTTTTGAAAATTTCATTCTTTTAATTCTAATTTTACAGTGCCGAGCATAATCTTGTATCTATTTACAATTTAAGGACTCATTAAAAAAGTTTTTTGCAATAACCGGACCCTATTTGCACAAATTCATAAAAGCAGGACCACGGTTGAAAGAATGTGAGTTCTTTTTTTCCCAATTTCACAAAAACCGGACCTTTCACAAAATATCTGGACAGACCCCTGATCATATTCTAACTTGGTAGGTGTAATTAAGTCTTCGAAATTAATAATTTTGAGTTTATTATTATTAAAAAAATTTAAAAGTTAACCAATTTTTATGCTCAGAAATTAATGTTATTTATTTACTTTATAAAAATTATTTACATCTTTTAATATTTAAATAAATTGTTGAACTCTATTGTTTCAAAGCGGCTAAAAGATTTTTCACTAAAAAATATTTAGAGATATAACTTTTTTTAATTGATTGATGTGTATTTTTGGCGCTAGAGCCATGTTTTGGCTATACCACGCCAGAATTGCAGCCACACAGCAACATTGTTGCAGAACGTTACAGAGATTTGCAGAAAGATTTTTCTTTTGAAAAAAAATTGCTTTTCTTTTCTACAGAAATTTACATGTAATATTTGAATCATGTATTTATACCACTTTGTGAGGCGCTCAATTTACAGCGATAATCGATGTAATGTTTCGATTGTATTTTCGGCTGTTATTGATAATGATTTTCACATAGATTTTAAATATCCCGATATATTTCAAATAATTTGGAATATTCGAATCGTGCATTTGAGTATTTACTTTTTAAGGCAATAATTCTATCCAGTTTTTGGCAGTATTTTTTTTTAATTTCTCCTTAGTTTTTAAATCTGATATTTTTTATGCAATGTAAATTATTACAACGACGTAATCTCAAAACGAAACACGAATTTGAGGATCCCGAATCACGTAATTTCGTCGTCAATCTTTTTTCGGCAATTACTGCTGCGGATTTCATGATTTTTAATTTTATATTTTTTATTGTGATAATTATTTACAAAATGCAAAGGAAATAATTTGTCCCTCCCCCCAAATATCACCCTTAAAATTAGAATAAAAACATTATATAGTTTGTTTGTTTTTTGTAAGCACAGCGCTTTTGTCATTTTAAATTAGTAACATATATGTTTGTTATTATTAAAAGTATCTTGCAAAAAGATGTTAGTGCTAGAGTGTTTTGTTGCAGATAGCTCGAAAAAATTCTGCCACAGGGACTGCGTCTAAAACTGGGTTTAAATAGTAACTTGGTTAAAACTGAAATATCTTGTTTAAAATCAGTTCAGTAATGTTTTGAAAAACTATAGTATGCTAGATAAATAAAAGGCAAAAGTTAATTAACAGTAAAATCAAATTTTCATTTTAAGTCCATGGTCTTTAAGGTATAATAACATAAAGTTAAAGTATATAAATCTTTTTAAACATTTTAGAATTGAATCATAAAATTTCCTATGGTATTGATGTGGTTCAGAAATTATTTTCCAGGATTTGAAATAATTTCCGGTTGGAAGGTAAGGGTCAGCAAAGTGTGCTAAAATGAACTAATTTAAAATGAGTACTAAAGTACTCATTTTACGTCCTTAGTATTTCCAATTGGATTTAAAACTCATAATTGTCTACCATTAATTAGTTAAGTTCTTATGAATTTACCTTATGAATATTTTTGATACAAAATTTGAAAACTTCTCTTGCAGGTATGAAAGTAAAGGAAAGCAGTGGGCTAAAAATCGGCCAGGAGTTCCTGTCGGGTTAGATCCTGCTTATGTTGCACCCGTCACTACAAAGAGTAAGAAAATACCCGGCCTGTCTGAAGCGAACACTAATGAAACAACTACAAAATCAACGAAGAAGAAAAAGAAAAAGAGTGACAGTCAAAAAAGTGATGTGACCAATAGAATGGGTAACTTGGACATTTCGTCAAAAAATTCAAATGATGACAAAATATTAACTACAAACAATATTCAAAAATCTCAACCAGTTGCTACAGATCCCGCAAAGAGAATTAGGAATCTGAAGAAAAAGTTGAGAGACATTAATGCTCTTAAACTGCGAATCGAATCGGGAGAGCTAGCCAATCCAGAAAAAGACCAACTTGAAAAGATAGCACGTAAAGAGGAGATAGAAGCTGAAATAGAAGAATTGGAATTAGAGTTAGAAAAAGTATAGAAAATTTTATATAACTCCTTTTTTAGAGAAAAATTCTTTTATGCTACTTGCTGAATCCGATCTTTGCCTTCGAGGTATTTACATTTACTACAAGAAAAACTTTCCCGAAACTTAATGTTTAAGATTTTGAAAATTGTGCCATTTTCATCTACGATTTGAGGAATACTCCCATCTTAGAAAGTTTTAATTGCCATATTGGTACTTAATAAACATTGTATTTTACAAAGTTATTCATCTGTGTGTTTTGATGCACAAAATTAGTAGGTGATAAGTAAACTTCAACAACTTGAGTCAGTCAAAGAAGCTAAGACTTCCAATTACCAAAATAAATCCCAAAAAACAGGAACAGGCGTATCCTAAATCTATACCTAAATAAATTTACATAGCTGCCATCTCTACTGGATTTTGCAAGTTTCTCCTAGTCTACTGGTTTAACAAAAATTCTCCTAGTTTTTACATTTTAAAAAAATTCCCTAAAATTGAGTAAGTTTTCTTAAAAAAACCCTATTGAAATAGAATTTTTGTGCAGGTCATTGCTTACTTGAATATTTAAATAAGTGTCACTAATACATAATAAGGCGAGCCTCATTTATAAAATTCAATTAACTATCTTAGAGGAATTAAATGCCTATAACTATTCAAAATTATGAATAAACATAATATGTAACATTTCAAGATCATTTAACATGAAATCATAAGTGGAAAGTATTACAGTTTTTATTCTCATGACTATAAAAATCGCCTATGCATAAAATATTTAGTATATTTTGCAACAATTATCATGAAATTTATATTATTTCGTAAAATCAACAGGATTTTTTTCTATCCATGTTCGCAGGTATGAATTTATAATTTCATATTATATTGGGATAAAACTTTATTAAGTTTTTATGTAGAAAAATAAACTTTTTTCAGTACATATTTTGAGACACTTCAGTAATAAATGTAGTGTTTACACTGATGATTACATGAAAAACTCCTGAAACATAGTGTTTAAGATTTCCAAGATTGTACTTAATATTGATGTATTTTACAAAATTATTGAACTGTATATTTTGTATCAGAGTTGGCAAGGTTTAGGACAGAATGGATTAATCCGCGGCTTGAACCCCTTTTTTTCAAAACTGTCTTGAACTGTCCAAAACCCTTTTATTGAAATGATGTGACAATTTCTAAAAAAAAAATATTGTGAAAAATAAGAGGTTAATTTTTGTACAAGATGCAAAACGAAGACACGTTTTTGTTTTATTATAAAAGTTTATTATTATTTTTAAAATTGCATTATTTTTCCTTATGTAAGAACATAATTTATCATGTATTAAAAGCATATTTAAAGGATAAGGTATTCACTTTTGTTGTTCAATGAATTGTGGAGCTTCAAAAGTTATAAATCTTTTCCTAATATATATTATTTTCCTTTAATAAGTTAAAGCAAATTGTATAAAAGGTATCAAATATTTATTAATCTATGTAATTATTATGTGTACAATGGTTACACACAAAGATTTTTTTACCTTTTACCAGTTTTCATGGTTTTGGGCACTTTAGGACAGTAAAACCCACATGTCCTGCCTAAAACCAGTTTAGGACGTTTAAAACCCCAACCCTGTTTTTTACATTAATAGGCAGCAATATAAAACTTTAACTTGAATCAATCAGGAATGCAAGCTGAAATACATCAAGTAATCAAAAATGTATGTTATCAAATATTGAATGCTAGGCTCTTTTGTTTAGGGGTGTGCCTTTTTTAAAACATTTCTAGGACTTGATGTACTCTTTTAAAATTGGAAGATAATTTCATTGTTAAAAAAAAATAATTTGCCTTTTTTTTTTCTTAAGAAAGCTGACTTGCTTTTGTTAACATACTTTTCTGTTAAAGTATCCAAATAAAATATTCAAGATTAATACGATAAAATTATGACTGAATGTATTATAAAATGTCCTTCATTGTTAAATGTTTGGGTTTTAGAAATTTAATTAATTGAAAATAAAAATGAATTTTCTTTGTTTTTGATTATCACTTCATTCTTGTGTGGTAAAAAATCAAAGTGAAATTTGTGCATTTGTTTTATAAAATGTCTTGTAAATCATTTATTCAAGATATATATAAAAAACTTATGTTACATTTTGACTTTCATTTGTATCTTATGGTCTAAAAATTCAGAAGAATTCATCTGTTTACTTTTTGAATTATTTTACATTTGTTTTGATTGTCCTTCTGGTTTTTATGTGGTTAAAAATTAGGAAAATACTCCTTTACTATAGATTTTTATAATAAATGTCTAGTAAATAATTTATTCAAGATAAGAAAAAAAATGGATTTTTTCTTAGATTTTATTTGTTTTGTATTGTAAAAACAGAGCAAACACTTAATCTAGTATTTGAATTTTAAAATAAGTAATTGTTTAAAAACAAATTACTGCACTTAAAGAAAACATTGTTGCTCTTTTATATAATTAAAAAAAAATCAGGGAAGTTAGTCTATGCATTGAATATTCAAAATAAGTGTCTAATAAATGATTTATTGAAAGAAAGATTTTTCTTCTTCTTTGTAACTGGGTTGACTATTGAATATGAAAAACTCTATCGCAATTGTCTTATAATAATAAAAATTAGCCTGGCTCGATTTTTATACTTATAGATTTATTCCTTATCTGTTATAAAAAGGAATAATAGGCGAAAGTTTTTCTTACCATCTTTGTTCCTTTTTTTTACTGATAGTATAAAAATCTGAAAATTGAATCTGAATTTTTATAATAAACGTTATTTCATTAAAGTTATTTCATTTCACTATTCAACATTTTGGAGGGAGTGGATATCATTTTAAAAATTAAATTAGAAGCTACAAGTTTTTTTTTAAATGTCAAAGAATTTTTTTAATAGACATTAAATTTTTTTTTTGTATATTGGACACTCATCTATACTTTAATGTAACCAATAGACCATATTTTATTCATTAAAAGTTTACCTAATCAGGAAGGCTATCACTAGACCTTAAATATGCCTATGAATAATTTATTGGGTATAGTTAATAAATAAAACGAAAGCTATTAAACCTAGACTATGCTATTTAAAAAATGTAGAATGACCCGAAATGTAATTACTGATGTGGTGAAAAGCATTCGCTTGTTGGGTGGCTGTCAGTCTGCATACATTCCGTTTCTACAGGCGGCACGTGTTGGAGGGGCCAATCAATAATTGCCCATTTTCTGGTGCTAGGGTCAATGTTCAGTTCAGTAGTATTTATAACTGTTAACATAGTTTAGAAATGCTGTATATTTTAAATATCACTGTAAAATTTCCTATGGGTTTATATTCTTGCATGATAATGCTAGACCACTTGCAGTCAAGGCAATAAAGAAATTTCTGCAATGACACAATCGGATAGTTCTGAGCCACCCACTATCTAATCTGTCTCCATGTAACTTCCATAAATGAGCTCTGAAAAGCACAATGATATCTACTTTAACCCTTTCAACCCGAATTTTGCAGCATTAAAATGTAGGTATGAAGAGCAGTTTATGTTAATGCTGGGTTCGAATCCCGCTAAGGGTGTGGATGTTTCTCTCTGTGTTTTGTTCTCAGTTGTGCGAATGTGGCCCACCCTATAAACAGATATCTGTGACAGTGTGGCGTGAGTAGTGTTGCTCACCTCCGTGACTTAGGTTCACATGCCCACTGGGTAACGTTAAACGAGCAATACTTCCTACGCGAAGGATGCAAAAGTTCGGTCCCTGCCATTAGGGAAGAAAAAATCTTTTGGACTTATATAGCCCATTTAAGTCGAAAGGGTTAAATGAAGGTATATATATAATCTGTCAGGAAAAAATCCAGGAAATGTAAGGGAATTTTTTTCTTTAAATTTTTGTGATCTTTTCTGTTAAGGAAATTTTGTTTTGATCATTGCCTGTGCAGCAGAAGCCTTGTATATCTATGGATCATGGAGGTTGGATTTTTTTCTTTTGATCTCTATAGCAGCTTTACATTTTAAGTATGAATCACATTTAAGTTTTTAATACACGGAAGAAAGGATAAGTTAAAATAATTATTTTATTTTAAACTGAAAAATCTTTATAAATATTTAATATAATTTCAAAAAATTAGTCTGCAAAATGAAGGGTTATTTTAAAATTACATTGAATCTAGATTTTCTTTTAAAAAAAAGAAAATAAATAATAGTAATAAAAAATTCGACCATTTTGTTTGAATAAAGGTTGGATAAAAATTTGATACTCGTAAAAGAACTTTTATTTTAATTAAGCATTAGTAACTTTAAAAATAATTTAATCTTATTATAAGATTATTTTTTGAAGCATAGCTTAAAATTATTTAAGAAATAAATAAATAATCTAATTGTATGATTTTTGTAAAAAGGAAAAAATTTACTTTTTATACATTTTTAGATAAAGTTTTAAAAATCGCTTAAATTTGTTATTGCAAGTAGTCGCATATTACCAAAAATTTCACTAAAACCATAGTATTAGTGATGTTAAAATTCTAAAATAGAACACTATTTTGAAAAAAAAGTAAAACATATACAATTCGACAAGCAAAATCAATGAATGTCAGAAAAAAAATCATTTTATCAAATGCATTCTGGCAGAAAAGACTAAGAAAAAAAAGATCGATAATTTAAGATTCCATAGCTGAGCAGAAATTGGGTACCACTACTTTAGGCTACTTGAAAAAAATCTTCTGTATTTTCCAATCAACCAAATATTTTTAGGCTAATTATAATTTGCACAGGTTTATTATAATAACTTTTAATAAAACTTTACTATTCTGGGCTTATTGCAAACTTCCTGGTATAAATCAGGTCAATTGAGCAATGAGTGATATATTTTCTAATTAGCCTAAAGATATGTGGGTTTACTGTCATATATTAAGAATAAAAAAATGCCAGGCTGATTACAAAATACTGGGGATTTTACCAATTGGTTTAGCAAAATAATGATGGCTAATTTAAAAATTAGCCCATAACATTATGTAACAGTAAAATGTATCATGAAAAATTTATGTTTAGCAAAAACTCAAACTTATACCACTTTATTAACTGCAATTTGCTAAACATATATTAATTGTAAACCTACTTTAATAATAAAGCTTCAATTAAAGAGCTTTGATTTACAACAAATGAAAATAAACTCTCGCTCAAAAATTTTTTTAAAATTAAAATATCAGAAATTTCTAACAATGCCGAAACAAAAAAAGCCAACAAATCAAACTTTTAAAGAACAGTAAATTAAAAATAGTGTTGACCATTTAAACTTTTGAAAGCAAACTTGACATGGAAGTGTCAATCAGGAACTTTTTGCAGGTTTTATTACTCAAAAATAAATAATTAATAATAATAAAATAAGCATTGAAAAAGAAATAATAACTTTTATCAAGAACATATGTTGAAATCAAATAATATTTTTAACATTAAAATTTTTATTATTTTGAGTTGTTATTCTATAAACAAGTTATATTTTATAAACTTTATTAATTTAACTATTCATTGTGCTATAAAACTTCTACTTATAACCACACACTCATAAGAAAATATATGCTGAAATAGTTTAAATAAAGAATTTATTTTTGTTACATACATGAATCATAAATACAAATAATAATTGAATTAAATTTCATAACATTCATACATTTTCAAGACTCCTCCTGTCCCACTGTAAATAGAAAAAAAAATAAAAGAAATTGTTACTCCAGTTATAGTTTGTAATTTATTTAAAATATTTATAATAAACTTCGAAATCTGATTAAAAAAATGTACATCATATCTCTTCCCAGCGGTCAAACTTATGTGCAAATCAATGAGCAACTTATGTTCAATCTTAAATTTATAACAAAAACCTTTATTTTATTCAAGAAATGTTTCACAACTAAACAAATATTTGGTTTCAATGTAGTTTGTTAATAAAATTCTTTTTCCACATTTAAAGAATCTGTAATGGAGTAAATACCAAGAGAGTGAATGTAAAATCTTTCTAAATTTATTTAAGGCATAATTTAGTATTAGCATAAAAAAAATCTGGTTACTAATAATTTTATTATTTATTTTGAATAGCTAATTATAATTAGTTTACTAAAATCATTTAATTATATGCACCAATTAAAATACCGAGACAAAAAAAAAAGGAAAAACTGAATTTTTCAAATTTTAAAAGATTTTCTGACTGTAACACTGTTTACAGGTATTATTGCAAAATTATATAAGAATATGGTAGACTATTTGAAAAAACAATACCCAATATGACATGTAGTAAGATTTTTTTATTTATTTATTATATAGGGTAAAGAGATACCTTTATATGCATATTCTAGAGCACTTGAAATAGTTCGCATATCATTCTCTATACTTTTTGCCCAGTTTTCTACATCACCAATTTCCTATAAATATACAAAATATAAAAATAAATGTGAAAACTAAATTTTAAAGTTTAAAAAATGTTTCTATATATTTAAATAAATTCTAAGACATTTATACAACAGCAATATAATCTCTTAAATTAAAAAAATTATGTCAAGAGATAACTTAAATAAAACATACTGACACACTCCTTAAAAAGACAATCTAATTGTAAATAATAAAAAATAATTCAAATAAACTGAGTAACAAATGTTAATTATATGGTCTAAAACATTAATTTTAATATTATTATTTATTTTTTTTAATTAACTTTTAGTTTTGATTCCTGTCAAATATGCACCAGTTAAAATAAGAAATGATTTCATATCAATTTAGCAGAATTTATGCTTACTTTCCTGGTTGACGGCATTTTACACATGTACTACCCTAAAGAGACATTGATCTAATTTAAGTACTGTCTCATAAAATACTAATTTTGCAAGGTATCTCAAGAGCTGTTGGTGATAATAGTTGCGAGTTAAATCTATTTAAAGTAGGACATTTAGGATAGGTCGACAAGAAAAGTATCAAAACCTCCCTTTTTGCAACATTTTTTTTTCATGTTACTGTAACAGCACAAGGCCTTAGACCCTTCTATTGAGGATTTCTTTCATTAAAATGCTAAATTCTTTACATTTGTCTTCATATCAATATATTAAACAAGAATTTAATCTTAAAGTTTAGAAAAAAAGAGAAATCTTTTATTTAATTTCTTCTATTTAATTTTTTTTAAATGCTTTTAGTTTTTACTAATATTTCAATGTTCAAAAAGGAGTGTGCAAAATTGAATTTTCAAAATAGTTTCCTTAATAAAAAATATTAAAGAATAAGATAAAAAATATTGAAATAAATAAAAAAAAATTTAATCCAAAATACTTTTTTTTAATCTGTTCCATAGATTATAATGAGAATAGCATTTAAAAAGCTTTTTTTAAAAAAATAAGAGAAAAATTAAAATAGCTGATGCATTTTTTAGGTGCAAGAATTGAAAAGTCTGGAAAAATTTCACAAGTTAATATTGCATAATTACCTGAAGAAAAATTAAGAAAATGTTAACTTAAATAAAAGAAATCATAGTATTAGCTTTTGATTAATGTCATTTAGAGAAATTAAATTAAGAAATATACCTTCAGAACTTGACTAAAGCTCTCTACAAGTTGCAGCCACTGTGCTGTTTGCTTCGCAAAATTTGTCACATTAGCATGAAGTTGTTTTGACTCATAATCTAACCTTTTTTGGTTAAGGTATGCTTGAGCAACACTAAAAATAATGAGAACAATATTTATTTGTTTAGGTAAAACCTGAAAGTGGAATAAAGCTATTTTTAAATTTATCATTTTCCCATGAAAAAAATTTAATTCTTGTATTTAAAAGTTTATGTCAATCCCTATAATAAAATATGGTTAAAAATAATATCCAGAAATAAACAAAATATCATAATAATATATTTTGATTCAAAACCACTTCCCATTCTTTTTATACTCGGGACTTTTCAGTTAAAAATAACTTAATAAGCCTCATGAAAGGTAAGCATAAAAAAATTTATATGTAATTTTAAAAAAAAAAAAAATAAGACAATTTTTTAATTTCTGTAATTACTAGTCTGAAGTACAAATGCACATTTAATATTAAAATTGGAAAGTCAAATTTTGCGAAAGATCTCTAACTGTTTTATTTTTAATGTAATTAACTTTAATGTGAAAAATCATATATTTAAAAAAAATAAAAGCTACTATTAAACAAAGAATATACAATGGATTTCAAATTATCCATGAAATTATGTATCAAGGACAAGGGAACAGGCAATAATCCGAAAAAAATAAATAAAAGTAAGGTAGAAACAAAACAAAAAAATTTTAATGTATCTCTACACGAGTAAACATTGTAAAATATAACGGAAATTTTTGTTTTACATCTAAACAGCGAATGGTAAAGAAAAAATTTGTGTAGATATACTTTACAAAAGTGTTCATGCATACAATTTTATACGTCAAAGTGTCCAGTTGCATTTCTTTTTATTTTAAAGTAAAAAATCAATCATATGCAGTATAATTTTTAATATCATTAAGGTGCGCACAATTCATGCTATAGATAATCCACAAGTGGATACCAGTGGCTTAACTGTATACAAAAGAAAGTCCTGAAAAATCATACATTTCAAAGATTTTGTAATTTTCATTTAATGTAAAATGTGCTTCAAGTGAAATGTATGAAGAAAAAAAATTCTTACAAGGAAAAAAATATCTTCAAATCATATGTACATGTTTTTATCCTTAAGTTTAATCACTATATTTAATTGAAGCCAATATTCTAAATAATTTAAAACTATCAATCAAAGATGGTTAATAAAAAGGCAATCAAGATTATCTAGATATACTAGAAACTAGGAATACTAGATTGGGAATATGAGAATCTAGGTATACTAGATTCTTATTAACCCTTCTATGGTATTGTGGTATTGAAATAAGCCACCATGGCTCACTGGTAAAGACATTGAACTGTCATTGTAATCACCTGTGGTGGCTGAGTGGTAGCGCTTTGTGCTCCTGTGCCACAGGTCCTGGGTTCGATCCTCGGGCCGGGCAAGGTTGACTCAGCCTTTCATCCGTTCTGTGGGTCAATAAATGAGTACCAAGCGTTCTTGGGAACTAAACACTGGGGGTTCCGCGTTTGGCTGACCACCTAACCGGAACATCTCTTCCTGCACCCCAGAGCAAGAAAACTGAGATGGGCACAGTAGGCCATGGCCCTCTATAGACTGTCGTGGCACTGAGTTTAGTTTTTTTTTTTTGTAATCACCTGTAGCGGCTTGAAGTTCACTCTGCTTGTCTGGGAAGTAAAAATGGCCTGCGTACAAGGCTGAACACATTGCCACAATCATGCCGTTTATCACTAAATTGTGGGGCTTTAGGCTTCATGACCCCCTGGCTTACTATCAGCTGTTGCGAGATTGTGCTACTTTTACTTTTTTTACATAATTGGATTTGTCCAGCCAACCTTCAGGTCTTTAAATAATTTGATGTTCCTTTGGCGATGGGTACTATTTGTTCCACAGACAAACTATTTGTTTGACAAACTATCTGTTTGTACTATTTGTTCCACAGACGGATCGGGGGTTAGGGACCACTGCTTTAGCATGTCAGTTATTTATTATAAAGACTCATTAAAATATCATTGCACAAGAACCTACCTAATTAGACAGCTTAATATTATATTTATTTCAAATTTTATTTTGTTAATTAATTATAAAATAAATTTGTTGCCTTTTACAAAACAAACGAGAGCCCTTACATAATTTCCCTACATGATAAACTCACTAAGTGGTTTATCTATTTCGCCAACTCAGTGAATTTCTAATCACAACCCAACTGCATAAATATATTCTTAAAAAAAGGTTTTTTTCCTGGTTAATTTAAGGATTTAGAATAGCACTCAATAACACTATTAGACAAATTTGATTTATTTCATCGGTCGACATGCTAGATAAGACAGGAGGTCAAATTACAAAGGTTTCGTTTCCTTTCAATACATGGAATAAATTTAGATTTTGATAAAGCCAACTTGACAGGTTTCACAGATCTTTTTAAAAAATTAGTCACACGTACCATGAAACCTTATTTTTTTTAGAGTTTTTTTCACAAGCATTTTGAAATACAAACACATTTTCTAAACAATTTTGCTCATATGAATAATGAAATGTTCTAGAAATTATTAAATTATATACTGATTTTAATCAGAATATAAACACACTAGGAGGTCCAGCCCAGCTCGCCCACTTCTGAAACTGCTATTGGAATACTTCGCAATTAGAGCTTGTTTCGATTGTTCAATGTGTTTTAGTTTAGCTTTGTATCAATTGTATGCTTTAAAATAAAGTTCTAAAAATATACAACATATAATTCCAAATTCTAAACTTCAAAAAATTTGGAAACAACAACATAAAGTCCTTTATTCTTACCTGAACTAATAGAATGCATAAACAATTGAAAGAAAAAAAGACATAGTAACAAAATAAATAAAATTAGAGTTGATACTTCAAAGTTAAAATAAAAGTTGAATCAATGAACATCGCTACAGCAGGTTTCAACAAAAGTAAGCTATCCTGATCAGAGTTTGAAATTAACAGTGTTCCAAAACTGCTAAAATTTGAACAGAACCATCATAAAATAATTATCAGTTATCTGCTAGAACAGCAATGGATGAAAAGGGATGGTATGCTGTTTTGTTTGTTTCATGTTTAGGTCTTCTTTGTCAAAAAATAGTTCATGTCATCTTAATCGAATGCATTCTCTGTATTGTAATTTTTAATTTAAATTTCCATTATTAACATATTTAAAACAAAAAATCTATAACAACTTGTAAATGAACCAGTGAAAATGTATAAATTAGTTACCTTAGTAACTAATTTATTTATTAGCTACTAATTTATGAGATTTATAAGATAATAATTATTTCTAAGATAATTCATTTATTTATTAGTTACTAGTTCTTCGAACCAGTGACTAAATTTCCATACAGGGTTCCAATTTTCAAGCACTAAAAAAACAGTTTTTTTAGCACTACATACGTTAACAAAATGCAAAATAATTTTCAAAGACTTTACATGATCATGATGAAATAACCAGTTTCTGACAAATAGCTCTTTTTCTTCATTGTATTAGCCACCTTAAAAAGATTGAGAGATTTTCAGTTCGATTTCAGAGGATGGAAAAAGAATTCTAAAATTGAGAATATCTTGCAAAATGCAGCAGTTGCACATGAGAGTACAAGAATCTCACTGAACCCAGCTCAGTATGCACATGCGGACCCACAAGTATTTCATCAAACATGTAAAATGATTAGTGCTTTTATACGCTATATGAAAATTATATTTTCAAATTAATATGAAACCTGTTTGAATTAATATGTAGAATTAAAACAAAAATGTTAACACAGTTTGACAGGGTTCCCACTTAATTTCAGAAGAAAAAAAAAATTCTCTGACTTTTCCAGGTATACTAGGTAAATTTCAATGAAAAATGAGATCATATTTTAATCAGATAACTTTGATTCGTTTATTTGTAATGTGAAATATGAGATTTTCTGTGTAAAAATATTATTAAACAAGGAAGAGAACATTTCAGGTATACTAAAATGAGAAATTTTAACAACAAATAATTGCAATAGATGTCAGAATTATTTAACTCAAATCTCAATAACTGATAACTGTTACTGACAATTTTAAGACTGGCTATTTTCCAGGATATATATAGGATATCCAGGATATATATTCCCATATATAGCAATATTCCAGGTATGATATAGGAATATTCTAGGTTTTAGTAAAAAAAAATTTCAACTTTCCCCGACTATTCCCTGATTTTTGCAGCTAAATTAAAATTCCAGGTTTTCCCTGTTCTCCCAGACCCGAGGGAACCCTGCTTGATAGTTTAAATGAACAGTAAGATTTTCTTTTTGTTTCTGCTTAACTTATAACCCAGTTTGTTTGCAATGTAATACAGTTAGTCTTCATCGTCAATGTGAAAAAATAAATTTTGTCAGTTTTGTGACAACATTCATACAATTAATATTATATAGAGTTGTTTAATTAAAAAAAAATTATCATTTCATTGTGAAAGCTGTAAAAATATTTTCAATGTAAAATAGCAAAATCAAATTGCTTAAAATATTGCAAAGAAAATTACATTTTTACATAGATATTCCAGCGGGTCATTTAAAAGTATTTCATAAATAGATAAACAACACATATTTACTTAAGAATACATGAAACTGCAATGTTAATTATACATACCCAACATTCAGATGATCTACTAAAGCTGATGTAAGTGTACTGGCAGCAACAACAGCGTCTTTACGCTTTTTTTCTAAAATAAAATATTCATATTAAAAACCAAATTATATCTTTTTTACGCTTTGAAATAAGAGGACAATAAAATACTTTTAAATTGCATTATGATTTTTGAAAATTCAAGATTTAGTTAAAAATGTGGCTATTATGTTTCACTTTGTATGAGTTCTTGTAAAGACACTGTAGAAGAAATAAGTATTTACACTTATAAACACTCTTTTTTTTCTCTCCAAAGCTTATTAAATTATAATATTTATATATAAAAGATATATATAATATTTATATATAAAAGTGTCTTTAGAAAGATTTTTCAAATTACAATATTCTGAGTCTTCTAAAAATACAAGTATCAAAACAGAAAAATATCCTGATAAATGTACATAACCAAAGTGTGAAATACATGTCACATATAAAAAATAAAAACAGATATCTATTATCAGGATACGTAGCCAAATTACTCAACAAAAAATAAGCACCTTTTAAGTACTTCTTAAGCATTTAAAAAATATTTTCAAGCACTATATACATTAACAAAATACAAAATAATTTTCAAACACTTTACATGATCTTGATAAAATAACTAGTTTCTGACAAATAACTTTATTCTTGATTATATTAGCCATAAAAATTATTATAATAAATTATTATAAAAAGATAAAGAGATTTTTCAGTTCAATTTCAGAGAGTGGAAAACGAAGCCTAAAATTGAGAATATTGTGCCAAAATGCAGCAGAGTTGCACATGAGAGTGCTACAATCTCAGCTCAGTAAACGCACCTGCGAACTCGCAAGTATTTCATCAAACATGTAAAATGATTGGCGCTTTCATACGCTATGGACCGGCGGTAGGCCAAAATGCATTGTGTTTGAATGAATTGTGAAAACGTTAAATAGAACAATGTTAAAAGCACGCTTTTGCATAATATATGGCGAAAATCAACATGGTAAAGAAAAAATATATCGTTTTCAAAAAGGTAAATTAAGCACTTTTTAAAAACACCTGAGGAAAAAAGCACCTTTATGGGCTTTCAAAAAACGATAATCAAAAATGAGCACTTTTTAAAAACGCTATGTACCGTGGTTATAATTCGGAAAGCCTAATTATATCAAGCTTGACCCTCCCAGTGTTATCGAGCAAGGCATATGTGTTTAGTTTGAAAACTGCAGCTTACAAATTACCACAGACACATCAGTTAAATAATTGACAAAATTTATAACTTAACAAAAATTAATAAAAGAAGGAGTCACATTGAAAAATGCAATTTGAAAAGCACCTAGAACCCACTTTTAATTAATCCATTTATTTCAAGACTTAATAGATTAATTTTCATTCATTTTGAAAAATATATACAAGAATATGTATAACAGCATGATTATTTTTAAACATCCTTTAAATATAAAGAAAATAAAAAAACTGAGGGAAGAAAAAGGATAAAATGATAATTAGAAAATGTAAAATGATAAACTGAATATTTATAATAACTATTTTAGAAATAAATTCATAACAAATAATCTCACTTCATTTAAGAATCTAATCTACCTTAGATAACAAAAAATAGTTTGTTTTTCAATATAAATACATACTGGATACCTATTAAATAAACTTAATTTTATCAGCTTTTCTTCACTCTAAGTAGTTTGTCAAAATCAAATTAATCCAATAACTCATGAACTTCTTTTAAATAAAATTATGATGCAACAATTTAGGAAACTTGAAACAAATATTATTTAAGTGAATATCTAATTTAAGTAGTACACACAGTTCAATAGAAAATAAATAAAAAAGGTACTATTCTCTTGACATTATCTCAATAGTTGTTATTGCAACATCACGAAAAATAAGTTGGTTGAAGTTTGAACTACTGACTTTTTCTATCATTAGGAATTCATAGCTTTTAAATTTTATCTCTTTCCCCTTTCACTTAGAATTCAAGCTTTTGAAAAAGAAGGAAATCAGTCAAAAGACTGAAAACCTTCACAACTACATGAGAGATTTTAGTATCTCTTTTTAAGACCAATTATTATAAAATCTATTATAAATTACTTTAAAATGAGGATAAAACGCCCCAATTGGAGAAAGCACCCCCCCCCCACCTGTAATTTCATATAAATACTGATTGCCAATCAGTACCAAAAAAGCACCCCCTTCTCTACAACACAATTTAGTAGTTCTTATTTTAAGAATAAATTCATAAAATTTATTTCTAAAAAATAGTTATCCCTTATGTTTAGGGTAGAGGATTAATGCTAGGCTGTAAATAAACAATGACTGGGGGGGGGAAAGGTAGATAATCAATCACAGTCACTGAACTGAAGATTGCTAACAAAAGTGTATTAAGAAGATCTATTATGATAATCTACAGATAACATTAAGAAAATCTATTAATCCTAAAGATTATATATTATAAACTATAATACATTAAATACTGCATGCATTGAAAATTAATATAGCATTTTTGAAGAAAAAAAATGCAAAAATTTATTTACCAAGTTCTTCTCTCTTGGCAGACTGCTTAACTTGATGTTCCTTTACAATACTGGAAAGCATGCTTTGCTATGAAGTTTTAATAAATATATATACCTGAAAAAATATAAATAAGTGACTCAAATGATAATAAATTTTTTTAAAAACAGGGTGCGCAGCCAAATCTTTGAACAAAAAATAAGCACCTTTTAATTATTTTTCAAGCACTTAAAAATATATTTAACTACTATACAGGGTGATTCTAAAAAGATGGGCAAAAGTTTAGGCAACCCAAGCAAAAAATCTTTATCAAAGAATACATGGTCGAAAACAAAATGCAAAACCGCTAGAGGGCGTCAAAGTTTATGTTCTTATATGAGGCAAAAACACACAAAGAACGATGAAGTTAAGTTATAAAAGCAAATTTAATGGCATGTGATTACAATAAGGGTTCAAAACAGTGGCGGGCAGCGGCTATGCATGCAGTACAACGGCGAAGAAAAGATAGACGAACATTCTGAAACACAAACTTTCCCTGCAGCGGCCGAAAGCTTGGCAACAAGCAACGCAGAGCAGTAGCTCGCAACAGGAATGGAGCTTTGACGTTTGCATCAAACAACTTTCCAAATGCGCCAGCACCTTTGCGTTTTGTTTTCCACCATGCATTCTTTGATAAAAATTGTTTGCTTGGTTGTGTACTATCACTTCCTAAAATTTTGCCCATCTTCTTAGAATCACCCTGTATACATTAACAAATGCAAAATAATTTTTAAAGACTTTACATGATCATGATAAAATAACTAGTTTCTGACAAAGAACTCTTTTCTTGATTATATTAGCCACCGTAAAAAGATCAAGAGATTTTTTGGTTCGATTTCAGAGTTAAGGAGAATGAAGCCTGAAATTGAAAAAATCGTGCAAAATGCAGCAGGAGTTGCACAAGAGAGTGCAAGCATCTCACCAAACCTAACACAGTAGGTGTACATGCGGACCCACAAGTATTTCATAAAACATGTAAAATGATTACCGCTTCCATACGCTATGGACTGCCGATAGGTCGAAATGGATTGTGGTTGAATGAATTGCGAAAACTTGAATAGAACAATGTGAAAAACCAGGCTTTTGCATAATATGAGCCGAAAATTGACATGGTAAGGAAGAAAAAAAATCTCTTTTTCGAAAAGGGAATATCAAGCAATTTTTATAGAAATACAATGAAAAAAAACACCTTTAAGGGATTTTAAAAAACGAAACTAAGCGCCTTTAAGCACTTTTTAAAAACGCTATGCACCATGACAGAGTATTGTTTTTGAAAAAAAAATTAGTAGCATGTATATCAGGACTTTAAAAAACTAAACATTTTTATATGCTTCGCAGCAGAATGCATGCCTCAATAAAAATTAAATGCGCCCAATATCTCAATCAAAAATTATTTACAGAGAGAAATGCTGAAAACAGGCAAGTTTTCATTAAAATTTAATAAAAATGGTAATTGTATTTTCCACATGTTTTGATTTTGGCTTCTAAACTAAGCATTAATTTAACAGACTTTCAGACTCTCTAAGTGTTCTTTTCCGAAATTTCATCTTCAATTTTTCCTACATGAAAAAATAAATAAAATGCTTTTCCTCATGTTATTCAGTTTCTATTACTGATAGTACATTTGCGTTTGCATTAACCATCCAAGCATTGAGCCATTGGCTAAAATTGTTTTATAAACTGAATACAAATTTCAGCATATTTCAAATAAAAAAATAAAGAGGTCAACTTACATATCAGATCAACCTATGCAACTGAATATATGATATTTTAATTCCCTTATTATTCTGTGTGTGTTTTCTTTTAATTAACTAAGGTAGGTAGGTATTTTATTTACGTCCCACTAGAGCTGCACAATGGGCTATTGGCGATGGTCTGGGAAACATCCCTGAGGATGATTCGAAGACATGCCATCACAATTTTGATCCTCTGCAGAGGGAATGGCTCTCCCGCTTTAGCAGCCCAACGATCTTCACGCGAAGTCGAGCACTTTACGATAGAACAGTTTAACGAGGACTGATACTGTGCACCCTCGGACCCTACGTAGCCTGATCAAAGTGGTCACCCACCCGCTTACTGACCACAGCCAGTGATGCTTGACTTCAGTGTTCTACTGGGAATCGTGTTTTTACGGGGGATATTTCTATATCGTGATCTGCAGCAGAATAATCACCAAGTCTTGGAAACTTCCGGGCAGTAGCCCACGAGAAACTAAAAAAAAAAAAAAAAAAAAAAAAAAAAAAAAAAAAAAAAAAAAAATCACAGAAAGGGACTAATTTGAATGGGATAACTTGTAGCCACCCCCCGAGCAAACATTTACATAATATTTTTTAAAAAAATTTGCAAGTTTAAAATCTTTTTGGCACCTTGACGATTGTAGTTGGCGCACCAGATCACGATACGGAAATATTCCCTTTCACGATCAGATCAGTCTCTAATAAACTGAGAGAGATAATAAACTAAAACTTTGAAATAGTTTTTTTCTTTTAGGTATAAATAATAATTTCCTGCAGGAAAAACCAGATTGTAATAATATCTACAATTATTAACTGGGGTTAATTAACAATCTAATGCATAAAATGTACATGACAATGCATTGACACAGGAAATCTTACCCAATACACACAATTTAAAGTTTTTTTTAGGAATTCAAGAAGCCAAATTTATAGAAGCTATTTAAAGCTGAATTTATTTATTCGGAAAATAACTTGAAAAACTAATTAATAAATATATACAAGTATCCTCATCGAAATTTTTTAAGAAAAAATCAGAGACATAAACAAACAAAAGAGGATGTTTATAAAAATTATATAAAAAATATCAATTAAGAAAGGAAAAACATATCACTTGTGTTTCAAAGAACTTGCTAAGGCGAAAGGAAATTATTCAAAATTAAAACTTTTACACATATCAGAAGCAGACAAGTTACTTGTTTAGAAATTTAGATTGAAGAAAAGTGCTACGAGCACTTTGCGTTAGCTTATAGCTCTATATTTTCATTAATTAAGCCTTTCTCTGAGGCTAAATAGATAGCAGAAAGCAGCAGGGAAATATCAGAAACAACTTGTGGCTTAGAAGATTTTGTTGTTGTAGTTCATTTACGTCGCACTAGAGCTGCACAATGGGCTATTGGTGATGGTCTGGGAAACATCCCTGAGGATGATTCGAAGACATGCCCTCACAATTTTGATCCGCTGCAGAGGGAATGGCTCTCCCGCTTTAACAGCCCAACGACCTGCACGCGAAGTCGAGCACTTTACGCTAGAACAGTTTAGCGAGGACCAATACCGCACACCCTCAGTCCCTACGCAGACTGATCCAAGTGGTCACCCACCCGCACACTGACCGCAGACAGTGATGCTTGACTTCGGTGATCTGCTGGGAATCGTGTCGTAACGATCCGTCCACTGCGAGTCTGGAAGAATTTGTAAAAGGATTAGAGTTAGGTCTGAGAATTGAAAGACAATATCGGTAAATGCTGGATTCTGAAGTGATAAGGATTGGAAGAGTTTTTTACAAGCATTCTGGAAAGAGGGACATTACTGGAGGAAGTGATAGTTCGGGTCGACACCTCCGCAGTACTGACAGTTTGGGTTTTGTGACAGTTTGCACTTGAAATGTAAGAATGCGTTAGTCGGAAGATATTTAGTTCTGGCAATTAGTGTATCAAGATTTCTGGAGCTCATTAGTTGACGTTAGTCTTGAGATCTATCAAGGTGAGGCAAGAGTGCTGCCAGACTCTGCCCGACAAGGGGTCAAGTCTCCCCCGACAGGGGGGCTCAAACAAATTAATTCAAAATATTTAAATTAAAACGAATTTTATACTTTACATTTTTTTCTCACATCATTTTTTTAAGTGTGTTTCTAATAATCTAAAATCACTGATATTGATACCACAATGTGCAGATTCCTTTTAATGTAAATTTAAATCTAATTTTTTTTTTCTGTTATCGATGTATTTTGTACTGTATGGACTCAGAGGCGTACCTATGGAAAGAAGCGCCTATGGCAAATCTCTTACTGGCGTCCTTCCTAAAATATTGATATTCTCTTTTTTTATAAATTTTTTTATTTTTTTTATCCAAAACAAAATAAAAGCATTGTTTGAAGTATTTAACTCTTTTGACAGGATTGCAAAAAGATTGCATTGAATTAAAAAAAGAATTAATAAATAAATAAATATTAAATATAACAATAAAATTATCTCTTTTTAATTGTTATGCGTTCACGTGTATTCGAAATTCTCATCGGTAAGAAATAAAATACCTTTTCTATCATATTTAAAAAAGACTCGATTGCGTTTTTTCAATTATCAATAAAAATTCTAACAAGTTTTTTAATTAAGCACTATTATATTTTAAAGCTTTACAAATATAATTTGGTAACAAAAATACGCACACACAACAAATGTAGCTCTGAGTTAAAGAAGAACTGTAATATAACCGGATGATACCCAACATTTTCAAAATTAAAACTGAAGGAAATTGATTTTTTTTAAATAATCACGCTTTGCTAACGTCAAAACAATAAAATCATCGCGATATAATAAATTCATTAAACATCACAATGTAAATGATTTAGATTTGTTGTGATAGTTACAAATAAAATAGCTACAATCAAAAGATATATTTTGGTTAGTTTATTTACTGTTCAATAAAAAAAGACCGATGCTCGTAATATAATTAAGTTTCGCAAACATTAATAACCGATAATATGAAAAAATATACACATAATTACATACAAAACACTAATAGCGACAATAATACATTCTTCATTGAGAAATAAATTAAAGGAAGTTGACGTTTTAGTTTTAAGAATATCTAGAAATAATTATTTTGCAAACAGTAAAAAAAAAAGGCAAGAGGTAAAGAAATAGACCGATATCTGTATATTTAATTAAAAGAAGAAAAAAAATATGAAAAATTCTCTCTTTGCATCACAATAGAACAAATTAAAGATAAAGCAAAAAATTAAACAGATTTGAATTATTAATTTTTTGACGTTCAGTGCGCAAAAAAATAAATAAAGGGACCACCCTGATAACTTTTGATCTAATGATCAGATCTTTACTTTCTTCTTATTTCAATGGCTCAAGGGGTGACTTAAAATAGGATAATTAATAGGTGCAGGTATGATATTTTAAGTCACGAAATCAGATACTAAAACGTACTTTCTCTGAAGTTTCTGTTTATACATGCCATTTTTTTGACGGATTTCTAAACTCCAAAATATAGGGGGTAATTGCAATCTGAGAAGTACCTAGAGAGATTTTCAAGTAAAGTGAAAAAAAAATTTGCACAATTATTAACGTCGTTTGTAATTTTGAAAATTGCTTAAAAAAATTTTTTTAGTAAATATTTATTATTTTATTTAATAATTGTCTTAAAAATTTGAATTGTAGGGGAAAAAAATTTTACGTCATTTTAAAAGAAGGTAATTTAACATGGGAAAATACAATAGTTTAGCAAAATTGATCAAACAGTTAATGAAAAATCAAATTTCAAATAACCGACTTTTTAAAAATTCGATTTCCCAGGAAACCGAACTCCATATTCGAACTATTTGAATTTAGACTAACCTGCAGAACAGGGTTTTCAAAAAATTTTATAAAACTAATCAAAATTAGTTAAATATGAAAGTTGTTTTTAAGGAAAAAGAAAAATATAAATCATTGAAATATTTTAGGAGAAGATGACTTTTCGCATTTTTATGAAAATACATTATAAGAATGCGTATTGCGTATGCTTCATAACTAAACGGGCTCTAGTTTTTCATTAGATGCTTATTGTTTTTTTCATATTCTTAAAATAAAGATAATTATTTAATGAAAAAAATTATTGTGATTATCACTTTATTGATAACTTTTTTTCTCAAGTTACTAAACTGTTGTAATGATTGGGTTATAAACTACATATCATAACCTTAATACTATTTTGTGATCATTCTACTTGGATTATAAAAAATAAATATATATAAATATAATATATAAATAGAGGACACTTTATAAACCCATTTAAAAACGGCATACCGATTTTTTTCAAGCAATATGATTTGGCGTGACATAAATGTAATGTAAGTGGAATATATTGTAAAAGACTTAAACATTAAAAAATTAGCTTTTATATAAAATTAAAAGAGTAGTATTTATTTAATCTATTTTTTTTTTAAAGGAAGAAAATGAAAATTTGAAATAAAAGAAAAAATATAGGAGAAAGATTTGCAAAATTTTGTGCTCGAGAAATAAGGAAACGTGCTCCATAACTCGAAGACAGTTTGATAAATATTAAATAATATAAAAATTTAAAACAAACGTGTCTTTAAAAATTAAAAAATTCTTAAAAAATAATTTTTTTATTTTAAAAAAATTGTAGGTAGAAGTATCGTTGAAATTCACATTTAAAGCAAGGACAGACTGTATTTTGATTAAAAAGGTAAATATAGTGGCATTAACATCATTTCATGATTCGCATTTTTCTTGGGAAAGCAAATCATTTGTATTAACCATAAAATATATTTAATAAAAACGTTTATACATATTAGAAACTATACGTTTTTCTTTGTTAGTTTAAAGTGAAAGCTAATGTTTACTTAGTTTAAATATAAACACACTCACTCTTTACGAGAATGAACTTTCCAAGTGGTAGCAAGACAGTTACCGAAAAACAATCTTACTTAAAAATATATTCATATTTTGACCAGATTGAAATTCATTATCGTAAACTGCGGCAAATAAATTGAACCGCGATGGCTTAGGGGATAGAGCGTTCGCCTTCCAATGCGGCGAATCGGGTTCGAATCCCAGTCGATGCGAATTCCACATCCATCTTGCACCGACCACAGTGCTAACGTGAAATATCCTTGGTGGTAGACGGATCATGGGTTAGAGTTCCCCTGCCGTCAGGCTAACCGTGGGGGGATCTCGTGGTCTTCCCCTTCATGTAACGCAAGTGCGGGTTAGCTCCATCAGAAAGTCCTCTCCGAAGGCAAATTTCTCCCCGCACTCGATCCAGGAGTTCCTTTGTCTTCTGGATTGGGTTCAAAATTACTAGGTTACGGAGTTGAACATTAGTAGTCGTGAACCCATCGAATTGGGTAGGGATGTTCAACGACGGTTATAACAAATAAAATATTAGTAAATTTATAATTGTAATTTATTGAAAATGAAAATTAAATTTGAAAATATAGACGTTTCCGATTTTACAAAGATAACTTTTTGTTTTGAATTAATGCTTGCCTATAGAAATATTTTAAAGTATTTTGGAATTTGTCCTTCCTTATTTTAAGCATGAAACTTTTTTTTTTAATTACAAGAAAAAGTGAAGCAAATAGATTTTCATGACTGGCTTGATATGACAGCAGAAAAATCAGACGTATTTTGTTAAATTGATTTGTAAAAAAAAGGACATTATTTTTTCTTTTCTTTATTTTTTAAAAAAAAAAAACTCTTTTTGATGTTGAGTTTAGTCCATACACCAAGGACCTTTCCTCTGTCTGCGTCGCTGTTGAGAACAGAAAAATATATAAAAAAGTTAAATCGAAATAATTGATTTTTAAATCATTTTACTTTGATGTTTAAAATATTACAGATTTTCCATTCCGGATTTCAAAGCATTACATTAAACATTTTTTCACGTGTATTTTTAATTTTTTCGCATAATTTATTTTGTGAATTTTGGCTCTTTAGGTATTTTAATGATCGTTAACGTAGAAATAAGTTTTTTGCTTATTACTTTTATATATACAGCATATTTTAAAACCGTTATTGAAGAAATAAAGTGCAAAATTAAATATTTGATGATTAAAAAATTTATTTGAAGTTTTAAAAAAACTGAAGTGAGAGTTTTAAAATGAATAAATTCCATTTCCATGATCCATTTAATATTTGATTTCATTTTCACTCGAAAACATCAGGTTTTTCAAATAATTCATGATGTTTATAATAGTTGGTAATAATTATTTGATACAGTAAGTTTCAAAACCCCATAAATTAC